AAAGGATGATGTTGAGATTTGTACAGCTTTATCTCAGGTCTTATAACTATAAGTCTGAATGTGAATGTAGGGTAAACCTATTTTTACTTTAAATACCATACATGTGCAACCAAAAAAAAAATCACTTTTTGTCTGCACAAGAGTGGGTTTTTTAAAGTGAACACAGGTTCACATTGTTTACTAACATTAACTTTCCAAAGTGAACATCCACTGTGTTGGATGATATTGCCTTTGCAGTGCTGATGTGGAGACCATTGTCCTTCTGGCAATTGCTTCGACTTGTGCCTATGTGTTTGCTGCCACCTGTCAAAATCATGTGTCATATCCACTCTCTTCCTGGGAGTACACTCCATCCTACATACAGCCAGAAGCAGCAGCTTGTGCAGCAAGTAGAAGAAGCTTCACAGAGGAACCATCAGATTGCTACTGGAAAGGCAGGCATAGTGTTACACAGCAATTGCCTTTATTTATTTCAGTTTATTTTTAGAGTTTTTGCTTTGTTTTTAGATTTCAGTTTATTAGTGTATGACTTAGTAAAGTGACACATGCAAGAGTACTTACACCTGACACTCTAGCACATGATCTTTGCAATGTTGTCCAAACCACTGGAATATGGATACCTTAGCTTACTATTTTTTTTAACAGTTCCAGTCTATCTTCACTATACACCAAAATTCAATATTCTACAAAACACTGATGATATTCAAGATAGAATAACCCATAACCACCAATCAAATTTTAATTTAGTAACTTCAGATCAGTCAAAGGAAAATCATGCCCCACTGTAAGCTGTGGATTACTGCAATCTGAACACTGCACTCTCTCCTATTTGATAAGCTTGTACCTTTCCAAGTGTACAACATACAAATATACTGTAGATTTTGAAAAACTTACAATCAGAATAATGTCTGCTATTTCAACTCAATATTTCATCAAACACTTAGGTGAAAGCAAAATTACATAACTAATTTAGCAAAATTACATGACTAAACCATTTAAATCAATGCCTGCAAAATATGTTCTAAAATGAAAATACTTGCTGTTGTCCATGAAACGGCTTTAGAACAGATTTCATTTTTCTGCTGGCTTTGTCACTTGCTGTCATAATATTTGACTTTGTGTTGAATTAAATTCTCTCTGTGTGTTACCTGCACTCTCAGTGAGTTAATCATAGTTTGCATGCTGTAAATTACTCTGCCATCACATTAGGTTATGCCCTTTCTCTGTTAATTACACTCTCTTTAGCCCTTAATCAATATATTCTGAGTACATATTTACTATACACCTAAAGTATTTAGTGGCTTGATGTTTTTTATATCAAAAGGCTTTTTTTTTAAAGGGTAACCTACTAATAAATAATAGCTGTTTTATTCCAGCACTGGACTGTAGATTTATTATCTTTTACTGTATGCTTACATTTATAGTTTAAAAACCCCTACAATGTATGCTCTCTATTGCTGTACACCAACTGAATCTTAAAGCGTTATTAAATCCACAACAGTAAAATCAGTCTGTATATGTAGTAAAGCATGCTTGTTATACTCACTGTGGAACCTAAGGGGTAATCCTCCACATTGTGCAAAAAGGATGTTTGATCCTGTCTTCTCTGATTCTGATTCTCCCCTTCTTCCAGTGTTTCCTAAATATCTCCTGATAAAACAGAGGCCGGGGGGGGGGGGGGGGGGGCAAGCTGCACATGCTTGGTTTGGTGTGTATTGCTAGAGAGTTTTTTTTTCTTGGGTGAGTACATGTAATCAGCACAGCGTAAATCAGACCTCCAGACAGAGGTCAGGGGTCATGCATTCTTCTACAGGAGAATGAAAACTCCTCCTACAAGCTTTAACCAGTGCTCTGCTGGACACTGATAGACGTTACAAGGCTGGGATATACTGCTGATGAGAAAAGGTATTTAGCAGTTTATATTTACTAAAATAATTGCATTTTTATATTCTGTGTACTGTGGGAGTCCAGATATAGTGAATGCAGGGTGCTGGGTTTATTATCACTTTAAGCTAGGATATAGGCTTCCTGGCTAACAATAATCTAGGAAATACCTGTATACAGTATATCTCACTATACCTGAAAGTCACTATTAGTAACTGTATTTCACTTCATAATAAACTAAAAACCTTCTGGCAATGGCATGTATTGATGTGCCATCCTGGAGGAGTTGAACTTCCCGTGGAAGCTCTGTAGGGTCCAGGTATCGCCTCATGCTACCAGTAGTGACACTGACCCTAGCCAAATGCAAAACTAGTGTAAAACTGTCAAAAAAGATGAGTAGAGAAAAAAATGTTAGTTGCCTCCACCTGTAAAACCATTCCTGTTTTGGGGGTTGTCTCATTGTTGCCCATCTAGTGCACCTATTGTTAATTTCATTAACACAAAAGCAGCTGAAGCTGATTAACAACCCCCCTCTGCTACTTAACTGATCAGATCAATATCCCAGGAGTTTAACTCACTTTATGCTATACTGTGATTAAAAAGTGTTCCTTTAATTTTGTTTGAGCAGTATAGTATTTACCAGCACTTTCAATACTAGAAAACTACGCAAAATCAGCAAACAAGTTTTACTGGAAATATTAAACTGTAATCCTATTTTCCACTCAAGTGGTGTTAACAGAAATAAATCTAGGTGATTTACGAGTGTGGCAATATATATACAAAAGGGCTCTGCAATGCCGCAATAACAACTTTATAAATATGTGCAAATATAAACCATGCCACAATTAGTGAATGTCATGTATCCATAAATATTAAAAATTGTGACCATATGCTGAATAAAGTGCTTGAAACATCAATAAAGTGCCAGTCTAGTCCATTTACTAAAGCTGGAGATTGCAAAATCAGGCTCACTTCTGCATAGAAACCAATCAGCTTCCAGGTGTTTTTTTTTACCAAAGCTTAATTGAAGAAGCTGAGGTTAGAAGCTGATAGGCTACCATGTACAGGTGCACCAGATTCTGAGTGACCCAGTTTTAGTAAATCTCCCTCAATGTGTCACTTTCTTCACCACTGCTGACAGTAATTATATATAAACATAGCGTCCAGTCTATTGATATTTGTACTGATATTCCTGGCAAAGTTGTCTACAGACACAAGGCTCCTTCATATGTTCATGTGCCCTATGGGCCAGCTTATCATATCCCAGCAAAGAAAAGAATGCACATTTAAAGGGATGCCAATAATGGTTTTTTTTTTATATAACAGCTCTCCCTTTCCTTTTTACATGCTATATTCACTGAATGAGCTATACAGCTATACATTAACAGACTAAGACTGTTAGCACCAAGTCAACCAAATATGAGTATGTCATATAACAGTTTATATATACATATATTGTATATATAATATAACTAAAATGAATACTAATACAAAGAGGTTGATTTACTAAAGGAGTAGAGTACCGAATGACCTAAATACAGCTTATCACTCTTTAGATGGGATTACTGCATTATTTCAATTTTATGCGCATATGAGCATAAATATTAATGAATTTTCCCTAAGACTATATTGTGTGCGCAAATGCATGAACGCGCATACGCGCACAAATACACAGGACTATGCGCAAAACAAATGCCTGAAATTACATCCAAAAAAAGCAGATGCTTTTTTGGGGGGGGGAGGTAATTAATAATTCTTTAAGTCACTAAAGCTTCACCTCATTCACATCTTTATTTGGTTTCTATGACAGCTGCAAATTGAAACAGTGAGGTTATCACTGGGGGATTAGAGCATGTCCACTTTGCAAAATGAAAATTCACTTACCCTAGTGAACAAGTTCAAGCTTAGTTTTATCTCATTGATTAAGCTAAGTAAAGAATCACTTTGCAAAGTGGACATGCTCTACTCCTCCAGTGATAGCTCCACTGTTTCAATTTGTACTGTTAAAGAAACTAAAATCAGCAGATCTGCATTTTATACAGCTGCTGCAGAAACACCAAAAGCAGAAAAAAAAGGTTTTTGGATAAAAGTATTTCTTATTCAACCCTTTATTAACTCCTGTTATACTTAATTAGCACTCAATAACTTTTTCCACTCCTATTCTCCTTAGATTTAGTTTTTGCCATGTAAAAAGCATGCTGTTTTCTGCAGTGTAACTGTTAAATAAACACACATAAATATCATTTGGAATAAAGTTTCTTGTGCTTTGTACTAGGAACATTATTTTAGTGTCAAAATAAACGGGAAAGACTGCAAACTAAAATTAAAAGAAATAAATGCATTTTCCCTATTTTCCTTTTTTGGTCTTTTAAAATTTATAGAAAATGTGTTAAATCTTTTTAGACAATAACACTGAAAGAAAGCCATTTTGTTCCAAAAATATATGCCTTAACTTTTGTATCATAAGTTGCTGAATTAAGAGGACTAGAGCCACAAAATGGCAATGGTTTCTGTAGCCAAACTGGAGGATATTGATTTGGATAATGCTGTAAATATTTTAGGGCTAGTTTATTTAAAACAGCTTTTCTGTTTGCCAAGAAAAATAAAAATGGTGCCTTGTGCAACATTTAGAAAAAACATAAAGTGAGATTTCAGGCAGTCTTAATGCAAGTTTTTGCTTTATTTGATATATTACTGTGATTCCTTAAAGCACAACAGGCATTTGGTTTTCAGAGAACAGAGAGAACCTTGCACATGTTGGCATAATATTTTGGGGGCTGTTTATGCTCCCACACTCAGTAGGTATTCAGTCTTGTACACAGTATGGGAAATGTTACATTCAGAGAGGTAAGAAGAAATGTGAGCAGCCTATAATCAGTTTGTCTTCAAAATAGAAAGAGTAGAAATGGCACCCAATGGATCACAAAAGCTTTTCAGAGAACAGAACTTCTGGGTGGCTAAAAACACAATGGTTCTTATGACCATGTTAGAAGAATACCATTATTTTATAAAGCTGAATATGAATGTGACAAGTACTGCTATTCAAGAATCTCAGACAGCTAAGTTGCTTGTGAGTCTCTAAGACTGTAGAAATATTTATTTTACAGAACATTTACCTGTTTCTGTTCCTCTCCCAGTCCATCCCACATTGAAGCTACAATTTTGGATACCTCCCCAAAAGTAGCATTTGGATTTTGGCCTTTTATAGCTGCTTGTGTATCTCGAAAGAATAATGCATAGGCAGACACTGGCTTCTGTGGCTCGTTTGGGTCCTTCTTCTTTTTCTTTTTAGGTGTTTTTGGCTTCTTTCCCATGTCAGGGGCTGGCCGCTTTTCTGCTCCACTGATCTGTGTGTATATTATTAAATAATAAGTCCATGAAACAAATATAACAGCATGCAATGAGTAAAAAATCTATTGCAAGAGTAGATATTGTACCTTAAAAAAAAATCATTAACGTCTATTTAAAACTAAAGGTGGGGAATTGTTAAAATTCCTGTCAGGTTTCCCTCTGGGGAAATTCACCATCTCAGTTAACCCTCAAGATCATCTGTACTAGGACAATGGGAAGTCCAAACGTCTTCAAATTTCCCTTTTGGGGTAATAAGCTATTTGGAATCTGAATCTTCTACAGTTTTCAAAAAACTAGTAATAGATGGGAAATGTTTCAGTGGGGTCATCTGTTCCTTTGAGAACTGTGGGATTTTCTTCCACCACTGTGCCCTGGGAACAGAAAGTGAAGGGAAGCCTCCTTAATCACAAACAGCAAAAAAAAAACCCCCAAAAAACAAATGGGGGTCTTACTTACTCCCCACTATAGCCAATAAAAATTTTTTGGCTTTAGAGTAAAATTCCAGGTTTCAATTCACTTTAAATAGTGTCCATCTGGGCCAAGCTGGCCCGAATAAACTACTTCCATTACTAAACAAAGCAGCCACTGTGTGTAATGTACTGTACTGTTGTAGCATTGGCTACATAGAGTAAGTGGCTCTGTGTTCCGGCAGCAGTACAGGCAACTTCCAACTGCTGTTGGAATTAAAGAGAGTTGGGCTGAGTGCTTCTTTGCCATTCAGGAGAAGGCTTGTATTTTTGTCAGTGAATACAAGGCTTCCTCTGATTGTCTATAGTTGAGAGATATGCAGATGATGTCATGATTTCCACCCAGACCAGAGGAAGCCTTATATTTACTGAAAAAAATACAATACTTCTCCTGAATGGCAAAGAAGCACTCATCCCAACTCTCTTTAACTCCAACAGCAGATGGGAAGCCACTCTTACTGCTGCCGGAACACAGCGCTTCTTACTGTATGTAGATAAAGCTACTACACTATTTAATAGCAAAAACAGTGGCCACATTGTTTAGTAATAGAAAATTTGTTTGGGCCAAGCCATTAACTATTTAAAGTTCGCTGAAACCTGAAATTCTATTGTAAATACACTGTTTTATACTGTATATAGAGTACATACAGATTACATGTACAGAAGGTGTTAAAAGAATCATGACCTGACTCAGTGGTTATACATATATCTCTAGATAGTAAGATCCTCTTGTTTACATATACAGAATATAGGTACATTATGTATTGAAAACAAAAGGATCTGACCATGGGGAAGTATATTGGAAGTATTATCTGCACGGTAACATTAGGTCAGCTTTAGCAGTCTGTTAGAGACTAGTTTTAAGAGTTAGGTCAAGGTAAAGTTTAATTTGAGCAATTAGGCCAAGCTGTAGGGATAGGTTTACGGCAGGTGGGCAAACTGCAGCTCTCCAGCTGTTGTGGAACTACATTTCCCATGAGGCATTGCAACATTACAAAACTGACAGTTACAGCTATGACTTGCAGAGGCATGATGGAACTTGTAGTCCAGCAACAGCTGGAGAGCCGCAGTTTGCCCACCCCTGGTAGGGCATTGGTAGTAAACTTAGAAAATATAGAAGCTTCAAGTGTGGTCCCGGATGTGTCAATTGTCAGGAAAAAAAAATCCATTTGTGTAAAACATTAAGATCAGATCAAATTTTAAAAAACAAAATTAGTATGGCAACATTCTCCTGGTTAATATTCTGTATAACATTGCACGCACTTATGCATGTGTTTGATGCTTACGAAGTAAAAGCAAATATTATACAGAACATCCCATGTATGTAATGGGGTGGGTTTATTTGCTGATTTTGTGAATTTAAGATCATGCACAGCAATCAGTCAGAGTACCACTGCACATGAGCTGCAGCACCTCCCACCATCAGCTACTGCACCACCACCACCACCATCAGTCATAGAGCTTCTGTCCATTCACAATCCCCCGTCTGCTACAGAGCCTCTACTTAGCCATCAGTCACCCTCTGTCATAGCCCCCTCATGTAGCAGCTGTCTCATCCAACCACCACAACAACCCCCTCTACCAATCAGTTATAGCTGTCCCTACTCTTAGTCAGCATGTTCCCCCATTAGAGCTCCCTCTAGCATCATGTCCTATCTGTTACAAATCCCAGTGCTCCCTCCATCCACCATACAGTGCAGCCCTTTTCATACTTACATACTCCACCTGGGAGTCAGCTGCAACCCTATTGGCTGAAGGAGTTCTGCACTCTTGATTGGCCAATTTCAGAAAGACCCTGAGTGCCACAAAACCATGCTCTCGTGTGGCTGGCACTGAAATGTGCCCAACATGTTAGGAGCTTTGTTTCCGGGTGCCCAAACAGGTGAGTGGCTGCACACAAAACTCTGGTGGGCAGTGTGTTGGGCACCAGGGGTTCAAGGGTAAGGTTAAAGTCAAGGGTTATATTAAGGGGCATAATTGTAATTTAAGGTTAGGGATAGGTTTAGTTACTTAGTTTTATACTTTCAGAAGTAGTACGATACATTTTAATTGTGATCATTTTATTTTTTGAGTCTTATCACATTGTTGAGTGTGTGAAATTTTGCAGAACATCCCAAGAAATGCAGAGAATAAAGCACAAAATGACTAAAGAATACTGATAAACCCATTCTTATAAACAAGAAAAAAGGCAGAGAAGAAACCAATGTACACTAAAAAAGCTGGGAAAAAAATATTTGCTGCTTTCTAATAACCTCTCAATGCCATTCAGGTCATTTACCAGAAGACTGTTTTACTTGATATCAACTGTTTTCCTTCAAGGTTCTTTTTACATTTCTTTCCATATTAAGATGAGATTTGTGTCTAGGGCTTTATAATTTTTTATATGACTCTATGTTTTCATCTGTCTCTTGTTCTGTTGATTGGAATGATGCATGTACAGTGTGTTTATCAGAATGATATATGTGTAAGATGCTTATGCAAGATAAATTGTTATGTATTGCAGCACAGCTTCTGTTTGTTTTCTTGTATTATTGATAGTGTTGTCTTCAGGAGATTCAACATATTCTATATTTTTACTTTATATTGAATGTGTAACAGTGTGCTAATAACGATCTTAAAATATGTATACAATTCAATAATATGTTAAAATTTTTAAAATAGTTGTTACTTATTATCAACAGTAAATCAGTTATCCTTGTTAATGGAATGTTGCACTGGGTGACTTAATGGATAATCTCATTGCAAGTTTCCCAGCTAAACAAAATACTTATATCGCTGATTCCCTTTAATACCTTTTATAAACTAGAATAAAGTGTATCTAAATCGAAAATTTTATTTTTTTTGTTTTGGATAGAGTGGCAAGGGGTTAGAGCTTCTATCCAGTTTGTATTGCTGTCTGGGTCATCGATGAGGAGAGTCTCACTCTCCATTTATTCTGGTTACCATTGTCACCAAGACTGGAACTAAGGAACATTTAAAATATGGTAAACAAATGGCAAAAAAAAAAACGGACAGGGTATTAACCCTTCCAAGTGCTATCAAAATCTAAAAAAAAAAGTTTGTCTTTAGATACACTTTAGGTATCAAATCTGGACAAAAAGAATAGGGAGGATCATATTCCAGACTTCATTTCTCTATGACAGGTTTGAAAATTAATTTATGTCTCTTAAAATGATGTTCTCTTGCGTCTTCTATGCCATACAAATCACATTAATAGAGACAGAAAAATTAAGATAGTACAGAAGCAAGACATACTTTTTGATACAAGAAAAAGTAAAAATTATAAAACATAAATTAGACTAAGGGGGAGGTGTGCTAAAACTGGAGCGTACAAAATCTGGTGCAGCTCTGCACAGAAACCAATCAACGTCCAGGTTTTTTTTTTTGTCAAAGCTTAGTAGAAGAAGCTGAATATAGAAGCTGACTGGCTACCATGCACAGTCACACCTGGTTCTGAGTTCTCCAGTTTGAGTAAATCTCCCCCTAAGTTTAGAAAAACATTTGCAAAAGATGTAAATGATTACTGCAACAATGAAACTATTACTGGTGTAAAGCTGTATTTGGTTTCCAAAAAGCAGAAATATTTAGTGACAGCTCTGACAATAACGAAATGAATAGCTATTCCAGAGCTATATTTTTACACATGATAACAATTATATCAAAATACTTTATTTACATGGAGATTGTGATTCTATTGGTGAATACAAAATGATACTTCTAGTATATACGCTGTGCCTGGAAAAAAAAAATGTATAATGTAATTACAGGCTATCATTCATTGCATAAATTACAACTTTTTGTTTGCTTTTTGTCTGTGGTCATGTAACACTGTTTTTATAGTAAAGTTGTGCCAAAGTATAATAATGTACGCTAATCCAGAAAGCCTATTATGTAAGCACAAAGGTGAAAATATCAGATATTTCTAATAGTTTACAGATGTCACCAGAATAGCATTTCTTAACACTACAATGCATAATCACGTAATAATAATATTTTCACTACATTAACATTGACCTAAATAAGAGGCACAAAATATTAAGAAAACATGAATAACTCACATACATTAAACTAATATAAAGATATTGGCAATTCAATTATATAGATAAACATAATAAAATAAAAAATACCAATTGTCTTTGTAAAGATGCTGAGAAGAACAACCCAGTCAATCTAATATTTGACCAATCCATCATAAAACAAAAACATTGTGAGAAAAGTATCCAATGGGAGCTGACATTTTCTGACTTCTGCACAGCCTTCTAATTTCAGGGCAGTGACATCACTCTCAGAGAAGCTGAATATATTCAACTTGCCTGCCCTGGAACTATTATGAAATCCATAATTTGATAATATCAAGTTCTATCTAACAGTTTTGTTAGTCAGTTAGTGCAGTTATTTTACATTATGAATGAGTCCCTCTAAGTGGGCAAAAGAAACATTTCTTGCATTCACAATTCCTCAGTTTTAACCTGGTCTTTTGTTTTGCCATACTGCATGAATACAGGTCACGCAGCCACAGGTTCCCATCT